CAGCAATGGGGGTGTCTGAAATGACTCAAAGTTGGGTTTAGTTATTCATTTCAATTGGCTGTAAAATGATTTTGTTCCAAAATATCCGAACAACCCTAGTTATTCTGTTTGTTTGACCACGTCACTGGTCTTGTTGCTCGCTATGGCGTCATTGGCGTCATTGGCTCTGTTCGTGAATCAGTTTTCAGGGCCTTGAAACAACTAATAATGAAATAATAATAATGCACCTTCAATAATCAAATAAATTGGATACAAGTGTTGAGTCACTGAAAGTCTGGAAACACATGGTGAACCACAGCGATCGAAATTGAGATCTAGACACACCAAAAGGAAGCCTGAGTTTTGACACGAAACGATAAATGCAGTTGGACAGAAAAAGTGATAACCAAAGGAATTACACCTCAACCAACCCGAGATGTCAACTTTGGTGAACTGTCAGTTTCGGCTCCCAGAATTCTAACAAACTCATAATGTGACAACGAAGTCCACTCCAAGGCCCAAACTTCTGGAGATGGCAAGAAAACATAACTGATTTTTGTAGGTCTGTCTGTGTGTTTAGGACATGCCATTGGATTGTCTGGTCCAGACCCGATTATTTTAGGATAATGCTTTTGCAGAAGTAGATGCTGCACCGTTGCAAGAAAACAAAACAAAACACAAAGACTTGAGTTGGATGTAAGGCCACAAGTTTATATACAGAAAAGTACAAGGACTGGAGAACACTCCGGGCTGGGAAAAGCTAAACACGGCTGACTGTCAACCCGAAGGTGCCCGGACAGAACAGCAAACGCGGCTCCGAGGGTAATCCATACAGAGCCAAATGATGGGACCCCCCAGGGAAAAGCGCATAGGGGGTCTGCTGTAGGCTCTACAACCACCATTATACAATAGAGCCTAGAGGGTACGCCTCAAAGACCCCAAAAACACCAAAATCACAACTCCCAGCCCAAAAGTGTTCCGCTACGCGTACAAACCAATTGCCGTGCGATGTAATGTGTAGAATGTGCCAGTCCAGGATCATCCCACCTGTTGTGCATATACAAACCTGTGACTTGTTCGACACGTTTGTGCCAGGACAGCTCTTGCCTCGCATATATTAACTTGTCAACAACTACAATATAAAGGAAAACAAGCAGCAGAACATGTTCCTGATACATGAAGCATACAAATACATGAAATAAGATTAACTATCAACTGAGGAATTGTTATACAGATATATATGTTTAAAATGAGAAATAATGGGTGGGATGGGAGGGAAAAAGCGTGTTACTGGTGTGGTTGTGTGAATGAAAAGAGGATGTAGCAACTAAATTCAGCTGAAACATGGATTACTTCCCTTTGTTTAGTGCATGTGAAGAGCAAAGACTGAATAATACACTAATAATGTGCCTTGCACTATTAAACCAGGAAGAGTAGCTTCCCTTTGACCCTGGACCACAAAAACAGGGGGAGAAGGCCCCTTGAATTGGAATAATGTAAGATTACCAAAATAATGCATTTTATTAGTTAGTAATAAACTTAATTATTTTAGGATAATGCTTTTGCAGAAGTAGATGCTGCACCATTGCAAGAAAACAAAACAAAACACAAAGACTTGAGTTGGATGTAATGCCACAAGTTTATATACAGAAAAGTACAAGGACTGGAGAACACTCCGGGCTGGGAAACGCTAAACACGGCTGACTCTCAACCCGAAGGTGCCCGGACAGAACAGCAAACGCGGCTCCGAGGGTAATCCATACAGAGCCAAATGATGGGACCCCCCAGGGAAAAGCGCATAGGGGGTCTGCTGTAGGCTCTACAACCACCATTATACAATAGAGCCTAGAGGGTACGCCTCAAAGACCCCAAAAACACCAAAATCACAACTCCCAGCCCAAAAGTGTTCCGCCACGAGATGTGTCTATACACAACTCCTCCAATACTTGTACTGTGATTACCGTTATGGTGCAAGAGATTAATTAGCCAAAAATACCTTACATTTTACTTCAGTATCTGCCATGAAGTGCTGAAAAGCCTCTTGTAAAGTGTTTACAAACAATGCATTTCCGACTTCGGAAAGATGTACGCCATCATGGCGGAAAAGTCCTGTTTCAGACATGGTAAGCTTGTGATAAATACAGCGCCCCCCCCAATGCAACACTGCTTTGACCCCAGCTCGGTTCAGTCGACGTCGAGCCCTTTCTATCGCCTTTGGGTTGACAGCTCCATGCCAGTATAACCTTGGTAGCACTTCTGACCAAACAAGAACTGTACTTGGCAGCAGTTGAGCCAGGTAGTAGATGTCATCAGTAACATGGCAAACGAGGGAACCAATATTCTGGTCAACAAGGTCATTTGATCCCAAATGCAAGAGTATAAGACTTGGGGGGGGTAGACGGCCTAATTGTGTCTGGATGACTTGCACAAGTTCTGACCACTTCATCCCCCGCTTTCCAAACCAGTAAAAACGTAACCCTAGGTAAGCCAGTCCCAGGTTGTTTCCCAGTTTCAACCTCAACGACTGACGATGGGCCCAATAAATGAATGATGAGCCTATTATCCATACATCTGGAATAATAATAATTATTTATAAATAGCAAATTACCTGAAGTCATTGATTGTGAATTCAAAGTTTAGAGTCTAATGTAAGTTGAGTACGCCTTAGACTTCCATCGACCCCACATCTGTATTGTCTCCGATGACACGCCCATGTCTGCGGCAGTAGTGGCTGCTCCAATGCGGAACGAGTGTGATTTGAACTTACATGGGTCGAGTCCCATATATCTGATGCATTTGGAAACCATAGCTGCAAACTGGTATCTTGTTAAAGGTTGACAGTTCCTATGGCAAAACAGAAAAACTGAACCCACTGGACGAAGTGCAAGGTATTGCTTCATTGCTTTTAGTGGGCACATTTCACTTGCATTACCTTGGATGTGGAGTGTGCAACCCCTTGCTAACTGATCTGTCTTCGACGATCTCAGGGTTACTTCTAAAAATGTCCTCTGGACTGTGACATCTGAAATCCTAAGAGGCCGTTCCAAATGAAGATGGTCAGTGTAAACCAACTCGCCAACTCTCATGAAACCGAAAAAGGCCAGAAAAAATGCACTTGTAAACAAAATAGCTTCATAGGGAGAACTGCAAAGAGCATTAAGAGCTTGAGGCATCTTAATCAATATGGAATACATGATTGGAGCCCTGCCGTCCCTATGACCCTTGAGTCGTTTGGAGCCTTCCAGCATCTTTCGGATGATAAAATTGCTTGTGGTATCATGCAATCCTGTGAGCTTATGTTGGTAGCTTATTGCTGAAAGGTGCTGACACTGTGTAGAGTGGGCCAAACCTTTCAGGGACAAAAATGCAATATATGTTGTAAGTTGTCCTGATGGGACCGGCCAAAGATAAGGAAAGGTGAACTGTTGTCGAAAGCGTGAAAAGCTGGTCAGTGCTCCCTGGTAAGCCTTCCTCGTATTGTGTGAAATAGCCGCCACTAGTAATCGGTTTACTTCTCTTCCACAATCTTCCAAACTGTGTCTGGTATAAGAGTAGCCGCCAAATCTGCATCTGGAGCCAGCTGCCTGAATTTCTCTAACTGAAAACGTGAAAGTGCATCAGCAAGAACATTCTTTTTCCCCTCAATGTACTCACCTCTAATTGTGATATTCGACTCCAAACAACACAAGACAAGGTGCCTAACCAAACACATAACTGGATCTGATCTTGAGGTCATCTTGTTAATGATCTCGACTGCGGCCTGGTTGTCAGAATGGAGTGTGACCTTTTCCCGAGTAACTCAGGACCCCATATCGCAACTGCAACTACAATGGGAAAATACTCAAGGAAGGTAATATTCGTCATCAAACCCTGCTGTACCCAATGATTCGGCCAAGGTCCACAGGTCCATCGTCCGGCAAAATAAATACCAAAACCTTTGCCTTGTCCACCAGCACTGTCAGTATAAAAATACAGATCAGCATTTGAAGCCCAAAACCTTGATCTCATTATGGAAACTCCATTGAACTCCTTCAAAAATCTCTGCCAAACTCTTAGGTCACTCTTCATGTCCTTTGTCAATCTTATGTGGTGGTGAGGCTTCCTACCACATGTTGCATTAATCATTCGTCGGAGGAAACATCTGCCTGATGGAACTGCGTTGCACAGGAAATTAAGTAAACCAAGTAAAGACTGCATTTCCTTTAATCTAACCTTTGAACGTGCCAAAAATTGGTCTATAGCATCTAACGAATAAGAGAGCTTCTCCTCCGGCACACGCACACACATGTTGACTGAATCTAGTTCCAAGCCTAAAAATGTTAGCTTTGTTGTTGGCCCCACTGTCTTCTCTGTAGCTATTGGTACACCAAGATCAGCACATACCGAAATAAATGAATCCAGAACGATTTGGCAGTGGTTTGTAGCTTTTTTACCCCCAAAAAGGAAGTCGTCAAGGTAATGCATGCTTTTTCCATTGCTGAATCTTCGTGCTGAAGCCCATTCAATAAAGGTTGAAAATCTTTCAAACAAAGAGCAACTTGCTGAACAACCCATTGGTAAACATTTGTCAAAGTAAAATTTGTTTTCCAAAGTAAAACCTAATAACCTAAAGTCTCCTGGCCAGATAGGCATTAAGCGAAAAGCACTCTTTACATCGGCTTTAGCCAGTAAAGCTCCCTGCCCTAGCTGCTGAACCATTTGAACTGCCTGGTCAAATGTAGTGTACTGAACTGAAGACAAACTTTCATCAATAAAATCATTTACGCTCTGACCTTCTGGAAAAGATAGGTGGTGTATTAACCTATAATCTCCTTGAGTGCTCTTAGGGACCAATCCGAGCGGTGAAACCTTAAAATTTGGTAGAGGAGGGAAGTCAAATGGGCCTGCTATTCTACCCAAGTCCAACTCTTTTTGGATTTTTAAGTGTGACAAACTGATTATTTTCCACAGATTTGAGATTTCTTGCCATAGCACCTACCACTGGACCATCATATCCTAGCTTGAAGCCATATTTGAAACCATTAACGAGAAACTGAGCTTGAGCCTGATCCGGAAAATGCTTTGCCATACGTTCCAGCACTTGTGTCTTGACTGGTGTTCGACCGAGCTTGTATAACTCTGGAAGGAGTGCTGGCTGATGTACATCTGCAGGCTGGATGGGCATCACTTCCACATGCAGAACAGCTGTGTCGGTACTTGCACTTTTGTCTAAAGCACTTGCTCTGATTGAAGTTGTTACATGTGTTGTTTGCCGGTCGTTGTAATTTTCCCTGAAATGTGCTGACGTGTCGTTTTTGAAATCCAGAAAACCCAGAACTGACCTGTTGATGGTAAGGTGTCTGTACAAACAACATCCACAATTCCACATTCAATTTTCCCCATGGTAGAGACTGGTCACGAGCCTGGCGAAGACGATATTGTTCATCATAGGTTCTCCATCCCAAACCAGTATGACGAGACTCTGCTAAACGGACAGTATTCATGTGTTTCAGTAAACCTTGAACCATGTCCATCCTGCGCTGGACATAAATACTCATGTAAGTTGTGAAAGCCGTTGTCCAATCAAAAATGTTCTCAATTCTCTTGCCTTGAGACTTGGGCCTCAACTCCAGCTGTCCATCTGTACTGATGAATACTGCCGAAGTTGTCATATAATCCATCAAATCTCTGTCTGGTTTAAGCAATAGTGCGAAATTGATGTACTCACCATTCCATATTTTGTTTTTAATGTTGACAGGGACATTACAACCCAGGTTATCATCCACACTTTGTGTTGTTGTAGGTGGTGGCATATTTAACATGTCAACATTTTGAAACATGGGAATGCCTTGCGAATTAGGAGGAGCAATTGGGTTACTAACCATGCTAGGAGCATTGTTATGACACTGGGATTGAGGGACATGATTTGGGTTACTAACCACGCTAGGTGCATTGTTATGACACTGGGATTGAGGGACATGATTTGAAATTCCGGGAGAATACATTTGTGAGTTAACTGATGGGGTATATGTATTGTTCGGATAAAAACCAATTTGCACCGACTCACCTCCTGAAGGAGTAGTGGTAACAGGCGTTATCTCGTCGATAGACTCTGGGACCACGTGGACCTCTGCTTCGGCCATGCTGCTGTCGCCATTTTCCCCGTCTCTAAGAACAGCACTATCAGACGTCGCATTGTTTGGAGCAACTTTCTGCGACCCTCGACGCCTCTGAGCAGACCCCCTTGCTTGCGACGACTGCCTGCTTGTTGTACTACCCTTCCGCTTGCTTCTCCGGCGACCCGACATCTCTCTTCCCAGCGAAATTGACAAAACTTACGTGTGGAAATAAAAAGCGTGTTACTGGTGTGGTTGTGTGAATGAAAAGAGGATGTAGCAACTAAATTCAGCTGAAACATGGATTACTTCCCTTTGTTTAGTGCATGTGAAGAGCAAAGACTGAATAATACACTAATAATGTGCCTTGCACTATTAAACCAGGAAGAGTAGCTTCCCTTTGACCCTGGACCACAAAAACAGGGGGAGAAGGCCCCTTGAATTGGAATAATGTAAGATTACCAAAATAATGCATTTTATTAGTTAGTAATAAACTTAATTATTTACAGACCACCTTCACATACCGGAAATATTCTTGAGTGCGGCGTTAAACAACAAACAAACAAACAAACCATCCGTCTGTTCAAGTTTAGCATTATGTTATATAATATTAATATCTTAATGTTAATAAGTTACAAAACTCTATTTAGTTTGTCAGCTGATTTGTCGTCTTGTAATTTGCTTGTATGATTATTTTATGTAAATCATCTCTCTTTGTATTTGTCTTTAACAAACAGGTTATATACCTGAAATGATTTCTCATTTTATCTAACATTCTGATTATACGTCTATACGTGATGAGGAGATCAAAATATTACGTACCAAATTATACCTTCATAGTAATAATACATAATACAAAATAATAAAAATAAAGTAATAAAAAACAATAATGATTTATATCTCTAAACAATCTACAGAGTATATATCTAAACGTGGGTTCGTGCGTTGAATGTCCAGCACAAGGATCGTCCTGTAATGAAACACTAATTACCCCCCCCTCCCCCACACACACACTACACACACACCCCGACCCCCCCCCCCCCCCCCCATCACACACACACAACCTGCTTATTTACTGCTATTGGTACTGCAGGAGCACATGCTTAAGCCAACCAGAATGTGTTTAGTACAACAAATTAAAACGTACCGTCAATGATTCCAAGGGACACCAGGAGTAGTGCCACCTCCATGAAACGCCCCATTGTCACAGAGCTTAGCCTGTACCGCACAGAGCTGTGACTACGCTCTGTCTGTGTCTGGCAGGGTGTTTGCGGATAACGTGTTATGTATGCACAACATCAACGTCAACGCAAGCAACAGCAAATGAAATTGTGTCATTGATTCTTTCAATAATATACATTGTACATTGTCAGCATGAACAGGCAAAGGATGTATTTACCGCCATTATAAAAAAAACATAAAGTAAAGTGTATGAATCCAGTTTGGGAACTAAACAATCTTGTATTTATCAAATAGATAAAGGAGTAGAGTAAGAGTTTGTCCTGTGCAAATACTCATGTGTACTCACATTGATCTAAATAGCTTATTGACAACTTGAATCTCATGTGGAAACTTGATATGGGGACATAAACTGAGTTGAGAGCTCTTAACAAAATGTTATTTTGTTTGCATATATATGAAGCGGCCTCTTCCCTACAAAACTTCTTTCTTCTAATATTCAGATTCAAAAAGAAGTTTTGTAGGGAACTCCCTTTTCAATTATCTGCCACTGGGACGTCGTGCGAAGTTGTCTGGAAATCGGTCATACAGTTTATTTTTGTTACAATATATAGCTATATTCAAATACACACTCAAACTAGCGGGTTGTATATATTAAGCTAGTCCATCATGGGTGAGTGAATTTAATTGTCAATAATGTCTTTCTGTATGCTCACAGCGTTCTTACTGTTCAGTGGTTTATAGGCATACGACATTGAGGGGCTATTCACACAGGACTAACACTTTCAAGTGTTATTTATAAGACATCACTTTCAAGTATTTAAATCGTATTTCAATCATTAAAACGCTACGTTTTGAAACGAGCAGATTTCTTTTGCAGTCGATTCGTGTCCCACGCCCGGCGATGACACCAGCATTGTTCGTGTCGATAAAGGAGAGCATGTCGTAGTTCTTTTAAATTTTCACCCTTTATAATGTAGCTTGTTTACAACTTCATACATGCCGATACCATTCAAAAGGTTCACAACAGCGGAGACACCTGAAACCCATTCGTGACCAACTCGTGTTATTCCGGGATAAGCCGAATAGCGACTCGTGCCTTTCTCATGGCCATTTTTGCGACCGGGTTCCGTCTGAGCGCAAACGGGCATACCTAAAATAATTGACTCGTTGCTAATGGTTCAAATATATTTCCCCATATATTATATATATTTCAGATGCAATTTAAAGCACATCGGGACATGCGGAATTTATACAGTATGGTTGAACACATTTAACTGTGTCTTGGGTATAACTTTAGATGCAATCATATGTAAAATCAAAAAATATTTCTGAGGAATTCTTTGACGAAGGACTTGAAATCACACGCGCATTCTGATTGGTTTGTCGTATTTTCGCACATAACATTCATCGATAGGGGGACGAGTCTTCTTGCAGGTTACGGAAAGGGGCGGGTGGTGACGAATGACCTGAAACCTTGACTATTTTATGCAATCTGTTGCATATTTGGTTCGGACACCATCCAATTCAAACACATTAGTCGCATATCTCACATGACAACAGACCTTGATGTATGTCTGTATGCTGATACTTGCGTGAGATCGCAATGTCCGCACGTTTTTTCCTTTACGGCTGTATTTCAATAGGACCCCAAACCTTCTGAATATACCGAATGCTGGCTGGCTGTAAGATACTGGTGTTACTGTTTGTATTCATTGGCTTGCGGTATGATACTGTTGATACTGCTGGTGTTTATGGCCTGACTGTATAGTACTGGTGTTACTGATTGTGTTCATGGCCTTACTGTGTGATACTGGTGTTACTGCGTGTGTTCATGGCCTTACTGTGTGATACTGGTGTTACTGCGTGTGTTCATGGCCTTACTGTGTGATACTGGTGTTACTGCGTGTGTTCATGGCCTTACTGTATGGTACTGATGATACTGTTTGAAATCATATCATGGCTGTATGATACTGGTGATACTGTTTGAATTCATATCCTGACTGTATAATACTGGTGATAGTGTTTGTGTTCATGGCCTGGTTGTATGATACTGCTGATACTGTTTGTATTAATGGGTTTGCGGCATGATACTTGTGACACTGTTTCTGTTCATGGCCTTGCATTATGATACTTGTGATACTTTTTCTGTTCATGGCCTGGCTGTATGATACTGGTGATACTACGTGTATTCATGGGCTTGCGGTATGATACTGGTAATACTGCTTGTGTTCATGGCCTTACTTACTGTATGGTACTGATGATACTGTTTGAAATCATATCATTGCTGTATGATACTCGTGATACTGTTTGAATTCATATCCTGACTGTATGATACTGGTGATATTGTTTTTGACATGGCCTGGTTGTATGATACTTCTGATACTGTTTGTATTCATGGGCTTGCGGCATGATACTTGTGATACTGTTTCTGTTCATGGCCTGGCATTATGATACTGGTAATACTGCTTGTGTTCATGGCCTGGCTGTATGATACTGGTGATACTGTTTGTGTCTCTGGCCTGGCTGTATGATACTGTGATACTGTTTGAATTCATATTCTGACTGGATGATACTGGTGATACTGTTTGTGTTCATGGCCTGGCTGTATGATACTGGTGAAACTGCTTGTGTTCATTTGCTTGCAGTATGATACTTTTGATATTGCTTGTGTTCATGGCCTGGCTGTATGATACTGGTGATACTGTTTAAAAACCATATCATGGCCGTATGATACTGGTGATACTGTTTGAATTCATATCCTGACTGTATGATACTGGTGATATTGTTTGTGTTCATGGCCTGGCTGTATGATACTGGTGATACTGTTTGTGTTCATGGCCTGGCGGTATGATACTGGTGATATTGCTTGTATTCATGGCCTGGCTGTATGATGCTGGTGATATTGCTTGTATTCATGGTCTTGCGGTATGATACTGGTGATACTGCTTGTATTCATGGGCTTGCGGTATGATACTGGTGATAATGTTTGTGTTCATGACCTGGTTGTATGATACTGGTGATACTGCTTGTAGTCATGGGCTTGCGGTATGATACTGGTGATTATGCTTGTGTTCATGACCTGGCTGTATGATACTGGTGATATTGCTTTTGTTCATGGCCTGTCTGTATGATACTTGTGACACTGCTTTTATTCATGGACTGGCTGTATGATACTGGTGTGCTTGTGTTCATGGTACTCTGATATTGTTTGAAATTCATGTCCTGGTTCTCTGTTCTATGCTCTAGGACAATCCCCTCAAAAAGCACATGGTCATTATCGAGCTTGGTGTCGACCCCGATGACGAGACTTGCAACATATCAGATGTGTTTACCATAAGATGATTAAACTTGTAATTGCTACTATGGGTTAGACTGGTTGCTGATGCTTGCTGAAATCTACCTTTCTTTACGTGAACAGCTAATGATGGACTGGCAGATCCTTCCCCTTTCAGGATGCATTACATTAGGGCTTACCATGTGTTTTTGTCTTTTCATAACTTGTGTATAGTGTCCACTCTCCCTTTTAATAAATCCCGGATCAGCCGCTGATTGGTGTAAAACTTGTGATATATTTACAAACCTCGTATTTTACTGTCATTATCTTCACATTTACATCTTTGCTAACAATCCTCTTTCCTGTAATTTTATCTGAGGTCCAAGATTATGTTCATTTCCATGTTTGCTGACTGTGACTGTGACTCCTCCAGGAGAGTTTCCGTTACATCAGTTCCTGGAAGAGTTGCTCCACTTCCCTTTCCCAACAAGCTGCTGCAGTGAAGGCGAGGACTCCGCCACCACAGCTGACAGCAACAGAAAGGATGCAATAAAATGATACCTCTTTTTTCTAGTTTTCATATTAATTGATGCCAGTTGCTCCTCTTCCTCAACAAGCTGCTAGAGAGGTCTGCAGTGAAGGCCAAGACTCTCGCCACCATAGCTGAGGAGTACCCCTACCTGGCAAGGTCACACGACGCAAAAGTCAGTTGGTAGTGCAGTCAGTGCAGCAACAGAAAGGAGGAAATAAAATGATACATTGTTTCTAATTTGTCCTATTAATTGTATCAATCATTAAATGGCTAACAGTAACAATGCCAAGAGAGTTGAAGAGAGTTTTAGTATCAGAGACGACATAGCTGGATTTGAACTTGTTTATGATGTAACTGCATCATTTCGGTACAGATGCTGGTATCAAGCAACTTCATCAAGTTTCTCAACTAACTGGGAAATAATAAGATTCTTTCAGGAACTGTTATGTTTGTGGAATTGCCATCATGAAGTCTTTGCTCAGCCTGTGGACGACTATGGCTAAGGCTTA